CAAAAGTTTACTCTTACTGAAGTGTTGATGAATGCCAAGCTTTCTGTACCTGGACTACCTGCTGTGGAAAATACCCAACACTGGCTATTATTAGACCTAGGACTTTTGCCAGTCTGAGAGTTGGCACTCACTGTTGTTTTCATTTCCACTTCTTTAATCATGACTAAAGTTGAACATCTTTTCATTATGGCTAAAAGCTGTTTCATTTTTTTTCCCTGTGAAAGAGCCTATTTATAGCCTCTGTTACTTTTTCTCATTGAAAGATTTTTTTCTTACTGACTTGAGATTTTTTTTGTATATTGAAAAATTGGGATGTAACTTTTATGATATAAATTGTCTTCCATTTGTGTTTTTCCCAAAATGTATTTTGCTTCTATGCTATAAAATGTGTTCATATTTGGCTTTGATAAATAGTTTTGGGCCATCTTGACTAGGTCTTCATGACCTGAAGAATTAAAGTCTCTATAAAGACTATGACTGATAACTTCTGTCCCTCTCTTCCCACCACCCTGCCTGAGTGGTATGGTGCTCAAACCTGACTTTTACACTTCCTCTAACAGAACCATCGGCAGGAGACTTTCATAGACTTTCCTTTGTTACAGTCTCCTCGTATGTTGGGTACTGCTCTAGGTACTGGGGAAGTTTGGCTTAGCCCTCCATGATCTCAGTGTCTATGCATGTAAATAATGTATATAATGAGGGTTTGTATGGTGTAAAATGAAATAGACTCCTTTCTCCAAATAACCAGCTAAGAAAGCTTCATACAAGTGATGACCTAGGTTTTGGGTGTTGAAAGTGAAGCAGATTCTTCCCAGGTAAAATAAGGATAGGTGGAGAAGTCTGTTCCAGGCAAATTTGTTCTCTGGAACCATCCACCTCGGATGTAAAGGTCTAGACCACAGGATGCTGGTTCAGGCCTTGATGTTCGGGCTGCTGAACGGTTTCTGGAGGGGTGAGAGGTAATTGGGTTTTCTTCCTTTGAAAGAAGGGTGGAAGGGTGAGTGAGGGATGGTAGAATTAGATACCACAGTTCTAGGACTCTTGGACAGGGACCGGCCCAAGGCAGAAAGTAATAGTGGGGATGGAAAGCAGAGGTAGGGTGTGTGTGAAAAAGAAGGCCAGCCAAAGCTAGATCTTGCCAGCAATCCACAGTGGGGGATAATGAAGCTGTAGAGATGGAGACCAACATGGAGGGAAGAATCCATGAGGACACAAATTCTGGTTTGGTTCCAAGGAGAAGTCACAGCAGAAGAGGATAGTCTGTTGGGCAAGGAGATTCAACTTTCAGTTTACTGAGGTGTTGGGAAAACATCCTTCTAGAGTACAGCCTGTAGGCATGTAGGCTGTGGCTCTGGAGAGAAACTCCACATGGGAGACACAGATTTCTATCAGTCTCTAATTATCACTGAGTCTCTGACAGTGGAATGTGTTAGGATTTGGGTCACTACTGTCTTCCAAAGGTTCCTTTGTGGCTTTTTGAAGAGACCCTCCACAGGGGAACATCTCAAGGCCCTCTGAGTGTCATCTTTAAGAAGATGTAAGATCCTCCTTTATTGTTTTTTTCCTTCATGATTTTGTTCCACAACAGACTCTTGGTTTTTCACATTGTTCAGTCTCAAAGGAAACCAGCCAACTGAGCATGAACTGGAACTTCCAAAATTGTGAGCCCAAACTACTTTCCCTTTCTGCCTGACTTTCAGTCTTTTTCTGTCTCACTGACCCCTGACCAAGCCTAGAGTTTCTGTGTGCTAGGCAAAAATATTCTACTGCTGAGTTATATCTTCAACTTCTAAACTCTTCTCTTTATATTGATAATTTCAGGTATTTTGTTATAGTGACAGAAGGTTGACTAATCTCGAAGGCAAGGGCCAAGTAATGACATTGTATCCTAGATCTTTTGTCTGTATTTTAATGTAACACATATGTACATAGTACTTCCTAGATACATACAGATGTAGATTAATTTAATATACCTACAACTTGGAGGGGGCTCTTTAATTCTCATCTTTCAGCTCCTTCAGATGAAACACTGAATGGCAAATCTGTGACCTGTAGGGATGACCACTAGACTCCACTGCTACACCATCTGTCCACTTTAAGTTTGTTTCTAGCTACCATTTTTTATTTTCCCCACCAGTGTCTTTGGCTTTGTGTTTCATCAAAATCCAGATGGTAAACCAGATGGCTTACCAGCTTACCTGAGGTCTCACAGGGAACAGTGGCAGAGAGCACAGGCTGTCTGACCAAAGTCTAGGGATTTGCACTCCACACTGCCCTGCTTCTCTATGCAGGACACTGATTATCAGGAAGTTCATAGGAGTGAAAATAACTTCCATTTATTTTATTTTGAGGACCCAGAGCTGTTTGCATAGATTCCCCCATATGCTGAGACATCTGCATCGAACCTCTGGGTTTATGGAGAAAGAACCGTGTTACCTGAACTCAGGACAGGGAGCAGCCCTTAGGAAGGATCATCAGACTCCCACACACTGCCTGCTTCATCCCCACTTCCCATTTCTGTTCCTCCACCCAGTGACTCTTGGTTTTGTGTTCTACCAAAATCCAGATAACACTGTAAATTTGCCATTCCTTCAATAAACACACAAGCTCAGCACATAACCACCTTTGAAATCATGACATTTCCAGGGACCAGAAATATAACAAACATATCTCAGAGGTATGTGATAACATCAAAGGCCCTCTAGGTTTGGGTCCTGAAGGAGTGTAGTGGGTGGGAGTTTGGATCCTACAAAGTATGAGAACTACACATACTTCACAGGGGATAGGGGCCCTGACCAGGCTCTCTGCCCTATGGTGTACTATAGTTTGCCTCTTACCTATACCCTAAAAGTCAATGTATTAAAGATTTGGTTCCTAGGGTGTCACTATTAAGAGATAGTGCAAATGTTAAGAGATACAGTCTGCTTAGTGTCCTTAGGTCACTGAGGGCATGTGTTCTTGATGGGATTGCAAGACCCCGACTGCTCTTCCTTCTCTCTGTTGCTGTCTGGCCACGAGGAGAGTGGTTTTACTCTCCCTGATTTTGCACAGGCCCAACACAATCAGGCCAGTCAAACAGACCAGAGCTCTCTGTGCAGAGGTAGAGGCTGGAAACTTTAGTACAGAATGCTAACTAGGATGAAGGTCTCCTAGCTTTAACACATACTCAAGGAAGCTAGAGGAAGGAGATAGCCTTGTAATTACCACCCAGGGCCAAGCTGCCTGAGACCTCAATCAGAGGGGGGTGGAGTCAGGAGGAATGTCAGCTAGCCACTAAAAACTAATCCACAAACTCAAATTCTAAATTATATTGAAAATGAACACTAGGGACGTTGACCAATGCAATACTCCCATCATTTTTCCATGGTGAGGCCAGGCAAGCAAAACTGTGAAACATTGTGGCTTTCCCTCTCCTCCTACTTATTTGGAGTCAATTTTGACTGTTACTACAGTTATTTCAGGGGGAAGCACGTGGCCTCTAAGAACAGTAGAACCATCTAAAGAGGCAACAGGATGAGAATATCTGAGAGTACTTTCTTGGTCCATCTCCTAGTTGGTCCTTCTCTCTCCCATACCATGGAGGAGTCTACAGCCTCACCCTTGCATGCCTCCAGGACCCTTTTTACCTCCTCGTGAGTCTTACCTAACCCATTCTCTTTCCAAGTCCTATGCACTTCAACCTATCCTGCATAAGATTACCCCTCCCTAAAATGTTCTCTTCAGAGATATGTGCCCACAATTAAACTACCCTATGTGTCCTCAGTTCCGACCCAAGGCCTTTTATGGTGTGACCATAACTTGCCTTCCCAATATATCTACTTAGTCTCTCATTAACTCATTCTTCACATTCTACCCTCTTTATCCATAGGTTCTATATCTATGAATTCAATGGACAAATGATTTAAAATATTAAATTTTTAATTGCAGGTCTGAATGTGTAGCTCAGTGATAGAGTACTTATCTCACATGCACATGATCCTAAATTTAATCTCTAGTACTGAAAAAAAGAAAAGAGAAGAAACTACAACTCTACTGAACACACATATATAGATATTTTCTTGTTTTTATTCTCTAAACAGCTCAACAAAGCAACTATTTGCACAGCACTTATAATGAATTGAGGGTTAAGATATGTGGGAGGAGGCAGGTGCTATGAAAATGGTATATCAATTTATATAAGAGATTTAAGGATTCATAGATTTTGGTATTGACAGAGTCATGGAAGCAATCCCCAACAGCCACTGAGGATGACAATATAGGAAGTACAGTGAGTGTTAGAGTTTAGGGACTCAGGCAATGGGATAAGCAGGGTGAAACATTGTCTCTTGTCCAGGGCTTACAGGAAAGAAGAAGGATGAAGATGACAGTGAACTATTCAGTGTGAGTGAAAAGTACACACAGGGAAAGATGGGGCCCAGCAGCTCCTCTAAACCCACGGGAACAATCCCTCTGTCCCTCATTGACCACAGAAAATGCTGCAACTCCCTTTATCTGGGCACTGTCAGTAGCCTACTCTCCCATGATTTCCTTTCCTCCTCCAAGGCCAGTCTATCTTTCAAGCCACGTCTTCTTTGTTGAGTTTTTCTGATCCATAGACCCCTACAAGGAACCCTCATTTCCATACACCCACAAACCCATAACCAACCCCAATTAAGGTCCAAACAGCACTTTCTATGCAAGCTCTGTATTATGTAGAGCTCTCCTAGTCTGCAGTGGGGTGAGAGTAATGAGAGACCACATATTCTTGCCTTTCCGATCCAGCCCTCCATGCTGAAGACATCCTGCTCATGCTGCCTCGTCACTTCACAGCTCTTCTGGAGAGTGAAACACTAGGTTACAAAAGGAGAGACAGGGCCTTGGAGATTGCTCAGAACGTAAACGTGCTCGTTGCCAAGCCTGACTGAATCAATCTGTGGGTCCCACATGGTGGGAAGGGAGAACCAACTCCCACAAATTGTCTTGTAACCTTTCTGCAACACAATGATACATAAATAGAAAAATAAATGTGATTGTTTTTATTTTAAACCACTGAAGTATCTTTCCCAACGTTTCCCAGGTAGTCTAGTCAGCCATAGGCTGTGACTCAGACCTGCCTTCCACCACCACCATGAGTTCCCTAGTTGCCACTGCCTCCATTTCAGCTCCCCAGGGCAGTGGGAGCATAGGAGGAATTCCAGCCCCTCCACACTTGCTGACATTCTAGGAGGGCAACCACTGCAAGTCAGTCACTGTCCCAGAAGTTCTGATCTGCAAGACATAAGGTCCATTGCTCTGCCTTGTAGGTGAAGCCTGGGGGAGCCCCATGCAGCCTCTGCTTGCCCCTCTGTCTCTGGCTGGTGATCCATCCAACCCAGGCACATCATCTGTTTTCCTTTTATGGTTACAGGGTAAGGTGTAAGGTTGAAGCTGTCTCAAGAGATTCAGGGAGCCGAGAGGATGATAGCATGACAAGGCGGTTGAGTGATGATGAGATTTCAGCCCCATCTCTACTACAGGTGCTCGGAGTTGTCACTTAGGCTTATACATCAAGTGTCATGCTAAATCCTAAACATGCTGTCTCACTCTCCTCCAGTCACTGCTCCAGTGTGTGTTAAGGGAAGTTGTTTTTCCAATGGCAAATCTTCTTACTAGGTTCCAGGTACAAGCACTCCTCCATATCTCTGCCACAGGCCCTAGACAAGGTTGTCAGACACCACTGCAAATAAACAGCAAAGACAGTCACTGAAGCCTATCCAGGTGAGAAGGGATTCCAAACTGTAACAACAGAACTCTAGCTCTCATCCCTAAGAACATGCTCAGACAAGACTATAGTGTCATGTTCTTTTCTACCAGCTCCTCCGGCTTCTCAATGGGCTCCATGCTGCCTCCAGGATGCCCCCAGGCCCAGGAGGATGTACTGAACTCACCTGCATCTGCCCACAGAATCATGCACATACACACACTACTTATATTTGAGAACTACAGAATGGGAGTGTCAATGGACACTGGAGGCTCTAATAGGCACTAACAAAACATCCTTCAATACTAATAAGTGTTTCACCACAACATTAGTCCATTCATAAAAATGAAATTAGGAGAGTGAACCAGACTGGGGTTTCCAAAGTTGCCTCTCTCCATGTCCTGATCCCTAATACTTCTTGGTAATTCTTTGTAAATGACCTTTCTCACTCATCAGTGCAAAGAATATTAGCCCAGCCCTGGAGGCCAACTCACACTTTGCAGAGGGGAGGTGACCACCACCAGTTTGCTGCCTGCCTTCAGTATCTGTAGATCCAGACATGCTCTTGGTGGTATGACTTTCAATATATTTTAAGTCTTCTTGGCAGGGACTTCTGTACATCTATAGATAGGGAGAATAAAGAAAGTGTGGACCATCTTAGGAGACTCCAAACTGTCCTTTATCTCCAGAACATGGATCTCTTCTATCCTCTCAAGACATCCCCGGTAATTAAAATTTTGAACAAAATTTGAAGTTCTCAGGCTCCACCTTCCCATATAGAGTGATTTCTTACATCATTCCTTCTTCCTCAGGATAACACACCAGCTCAAATCAAGGACTTTGGCGCCTGCCTGCTGGAATCCAGCCTTTGCTCCCTGCCAGCTTTGGGGGCCTCATCTTCTCCAGTATCATGTCCTCTCTGGAACGTGGCAGTCATATGTTGGGTGGATGGAGCATTAATGAAACCATTCTTGCAGCACACTTAGTAGAATTTAAAGGTTCTGTGTGGTCACTCATGACAATTTTTCATGCAGAATTCTAGTCATGCATACTTGCATATATTTTCCCCACATCTTTTACAGATTTAGTTACAACCTACAGCAAGGACAGTATAGCAGAAGTACATCAACTTAAAGTAAAAAATGATAGGTTCTCTCAAAAAAAAAAACCAACAACAAAAACCAGAGGCCTGGCACAGGGGAAATAAAGTGACCCTGGCTGTGGGAATTGCACAGTTAAGAAGCCAGAGCCCATAACCAGTTTCTGTGTTTACAATGTGGTGATACTTTGTGTGATCCTTTTAATCTGCTTCATGGCATCTTTGTTTCCTTTCTTCCTTATCACGCACTTTGCCAAATTTTATCTTCCTGTCACCTGTTCTTCACTCCTCCATTTTGGACGTGTCCTGGGCTCCTTCTCGGGCCTTTGTCTCCTGAACCATTGTTCCAGTCCCACCTGCTTTCCCGGACTCCTGTTTTCAGCTAGCTGTGAGATGGTTCCACCTAAATACCCCACCTACACCTCAAAACTAGCCAGGGGAAAACAGCTCATCACCCGCCACTGTTCACGATCTTTTCCGTGGATCCCACCTCTTTGTTGCTGTCCTTGGATTTTCCCCCAACTGCAAGCCTCCCTCTGCCCAGCAGCCGACACCTGCTTTCTAGTTTTTTTTTTTTTTTTTGAGCTAAGATGTCCTGTACCTTTAATTCACTCCGCTGTCTCTGCTTGTCCGGCTCTCAACCTTCGACCTAAACCTCCCGTGCCAGCCTTATTTGTCCAGCCCAGTCTATGAATGGATGGAGAGTGATCTTTGACCTACTAGGCACATCTCTATTTCAAAGCCACCCATCTTCCTCATGGCTGATGAAACGAAATATTCTGTCCCTGGTGCAGGCAGGTAGGGTCCTCGTTTAATGCTCTCCCTCTAATCTTACACAGACGAATCAACATCCCTCCACACACTCAACAAATGTGCTTCATTCTTTCTGTCTTGTGTTTTCACAGCCTTCTTTCTCAAATCCAATGCTGTGTCTAACTTGTTTGTTCTTCAAACTTAGCTTAGCTTGGATTTCTTACCTTTCAGGAAGGCTTCCCTCATTTCCCTGTCTGAAATAATCCCAGCTCAGCCAGCTTTCTATCTGTGTAGAAAATGCTTGAGATAAGTCAACTTTTTAAGGTGAAAGGGTTTACTTTGACTTACGGTTTCAAAGATTCAGTTTAGTTCATGGCAACTTGTACCTGTTAGTTTAGCCCATGGAAACAAGGTCAATCATGGCAGGAGTGCCAATGGAGGAGACCCGTTTATCAGAGACAGGTAAAAGAGGAGCAAGAGTCCTTCAAGGACACCCCTAGCGACCTGATTTTCTTCTTCTAAATTCTACTCAAAAGACCCTGCCACTTCTAAGTAGTCCCAAGGCCTTGAAATTTCATCTGCACATCGAGGGCCTTTGAAGGACACTTTTGACTCAAACTATAGCAAACCCCTGAGAAGGTCTCACTCCCTGAACCCCAAAGCTCCTTGGACTCCATTGGATGTTGGGAATAATTAACCCAATGAACTTATAATGACAGAAATGAAGTGGAGGAGTTGTCCCTGGTCGCTGGGGAAGAAGGTAGGTCCTGTCCACCAGACTCAGCAGTCAGTTGTAAGACTCAGCCAAGCCAGCTGGAATTGAGGGAATGAGCTGTTAGCACAAAGTGGCAGCGGTTGTTAGACTGCAGAAGACTGGGCACTCAGGAAAAGGCATAGAAGCCGGCAAGGAGTCCTGGCTCCACCCCTGATGACTGCTGGCAAGTCACTTCACCCTCCCAGCAGCTGTCTCTTAACCTGCACAGTGAGCAGAGTGATAATGTGTAGTTGCTATTGTGAGGGCTGCACAGGAGAGCATGTGAGTGAAAGTGCTTGGCTCAGCGCCTGGCACAGCAAATATTAACAAGCCATGTGACCTCAGGAATGTGTGCCGTGTAATCCTTTCAACCTGAAACAAAGAGAAAAGAATTTCTACCTTATAAGATTGCTGTGAATATTGAATGGATTAGCGTATACAACACTTAGAGCAGAACCGGAAATAGGACTCAAGAAATACCAGCTCTTTGGAGGGGATATTGATGACAATAAAGATGGGTGTGCAACTACCATCATGGAGCCTTCATCCAGTAATTGATGGAACCAGATGCAGAGATCTACCACCAAGCACCAGGCCAAGCTCCAGGAATCCAGTGGAAGAGAGGGAGGAGGGGATATATGAGAAAGGGAGGTCAAGATCATGATGGAGAAATCTACAGAGACAGCTGAACCATGCTCGTGAAAACACATTAACTCTAGAGCGACAGTGGTAGAGCCTCCATAGGACTGAAGTAGGCCCTCCATATGTGGGAGACAGTTGTGAAGCTTGGACTTTCAGAGGGGCCCCTGGCAGTAGGACCAGGATCTGTCCCTGGTGCATGAGCTAGCTTGTTGGAGCCCATTTCCTATGGTGGAATGCCATGCTCAGCCTTAATGCAGTGGGGAGGGGCTTGGTCCTGCCTCAACGTAATGTGCTAGACTTTTTTTTACTCCTCATAGGAGCCCTTACCATGGGAGGAGTGGATGGAAGGTGTAGGGGGGAGGAAGGCAGGTGGACAGGTGGAAGAGAGAACTGTGGTTCGAATGTAAAATGAAATTTAAAAATAAATAGGATGTTGGGTGTGGGGGAGGATGCCATGTAGAGGCAGGAAGCTGGCAGCTTCCACTGAAATTTTCAAGTGCTTGACCTTTTCCATACTGTGTTGTAAATGTGAGAACCAATAATATTGTTATGACTGTATTAATACAACTCCAAGTGTAGCAACTGGTGCTCTTTGTCAGGAGTCATCAAGTGTGACTTTAAATGCCCAGAGAGCAGATATTTTAGGTTTCCAGGTCACCTGTCAATACTGTTCAGCTTGCCCACTGGAATGCAAAAGTAGCCATATAAGCCATGTGTTAATGAGGAGGCTGGGCTTGGTTCAGGTTTATTTACAAGACAGGTGAGAAACCAGGGTTGCCCAATGTGCTGTAGTCTGTTGAACCTGGCCCTATGCAGTCATTAAGTAAGTAAGCAAGCCAAGAATAAATAAACAAAGGGTCTTAATGCATCATAACAAGGTCTCCCATTGCTCCCCACTGAAGCTTTATTAGGGATCCTCAGCATGCAGTCAAAGGGGCACGATTCTCCCCCACTCATCCCTTCTATTTGGAAACATGTGGGCCTGGAGACAGAAAGGGAGCATTGACTCTACACAGTATGACAATTAAGGCTGGTTGTGTGAGTAGGAGTCAGGAGACTGGCTTCCTGTCTGCTCGGTGAACCAGTGATATCAATAATACCTGGGAGTTTGTGGGCAACACCTTGTCCTGGGGCCCACCCACATCAGTGCTGTGAGACCAGACCCAACAGATGTACCGTTTTCTTCAGTGAGACCAATTTCACATGCCAACAGTGTGTCTGACTAGGTTCACCCCCTTCTAAAGTATTAGACCCCAGAGCGGAGGGCTGCGAGGAGCTGGTTCCTCTGCTCCTTTGGTTCACTGGTGAAGATGGCCAATGACCCTGCTGTTTGCAGTGCTAACAACATTCTTATTCAGTATGTCTTCCGGGTCTTGGGGTAAGCTAGAGAGACTCCTTCAGTCTATCCCTAGCCAGGCCCTCACTTGCTTGTGGCACCTTTTCTGTCAGCATCCATTCTGCCCTTGCATTCCCAGCACCGAATCCTTTGGTCCTTTCTTTTGCAAACAGCTCAGATTTCTATGGGAGTTTGTCCAGGTTTCCTGAAATCATTTTGGAAATAGGCTACTTGGATATTTTGTGAGTATACTTTCTTATATTATGCTTTATATATTGCAATAAGATTATTTCTGAATCCAATTTCTTTCTCTGCCTTCATTCAAATTATACCCACAAATACCTAGAAAATGTTCATTTTCTCCCAAAAGCAAGGACTGGGCCAGAGAAATAACTGAACCAAACTGTCACCCAGAAAAGGAAAATGCATAAGATTTGTCATGTTGTGGTTTAGGAAATAAACAATGGAAAATGAAAAAGAATTGTTATTATGACTTCTCAGAACTTCTATTCTTGGCCTTAATATATCGATATATTATTTTTCTCATGCTTTCTAGACACTGCCTGTTTTCATCTGACTAGTTCCTGACTGTTTGCCAGGTTAATTTCTACCCCTAGAATTTCCAGAAAACACCCTGCAAGGCTCTTGCGACCCCAGTCAGGAGGGAGCTACTCTTAGGCACACCTGTGTATTTCTTTTCTCACGATGAGTGAGATTTATTCCAATTAAATTTACATACATTCACATGAACACCAGATATAAAGAACTCAATGAATAATTAAGTGACCTCTGTAGCCTTCTATGACAGCTCATTGCTAGGACGCAGAAACTCCCAGTGACCTTCCTAATGGCAAATCTACCCTGATCCACAACCCTCAAGGTATACATCACCAAGAGAAATATCAAGTTCTCTTTATCAGCTTTTTTATTCTTCTAAGTGGGTCCTGCCTACATAGCCTAGACTAACCTTGAATACTTGAACCTGCAGTCATAACCTCTCAAATTCTGGGATTAAAGTTGTGGACCACCACAAATGA